TAACTTCCTTTATAGTAACGCCATGGAAAGTAGATTAATAGTTTCCTGTCATCACCCGCATGCTCTCAGTAAAGCCTTATCAAATATCATTATTTATTCTAATTGCTTAAGCTAATGTCACTTGATGTTAAACACTCTTCAATTAGGAGAATTTCATAAAGTTTAGCAAATTTGTGCTTAAAAGTTGGCAATGAATAATAACCGTCCACCTGTAAGATTCTTTTGAAAACTTGACCTAGAAACTGCTAATCTAGTTTCCTTGCCCTAACCAATACTTATGTATCTGCACATGCTTTCACCCTATAGTTTTGCTGCTCTAAATCAGCCATCTTTAATCTGAATGATAAAAAGTCAAAAATGGTCCACCTTTATGCTTAGATAAAGCTGTAGTAAAAATTTCAGACTGAAAATAGGCGATACTTTGGATTTCACAGTCTGAGCTACAGATAGTGGAAAATTGCTAAACTATCAATTCTGTTAATAATAGTGTGTCCTGCAGGTTGTTTTGATTACATAATACACTACCATGTGTCTCGATTACATGAAAATATGAGGAACAAAATATCATCTAAAAAAGTATGTATAATTTTTTTAAGTGTAATAAAATATGCATAAATAATTGTTTATATGCACCATTTTATTATGCAGTTACTAACTTGTCCTATTTACCTTTATTAGCTGCCCTTCCTGGAATGGAAGTTCTTCAGTGGTATCAGGGTTTGGAGACATTGTGTGAGGGATGTAGTCAAACAGTGCAACAAACCACCTGACACTGTTTTCTGAATGGTTTACTTCTATCACTTGACATTGATCTCTGTAGCTAATGCCATCCTTGAGGTGTGATACAGGAGGCACATATTCATAATAATTGTGGTCTTCTCTAGACAGGTGATGTGTCTGAGAGGGAGAAACTGGGCAAGGCCCATTCTTCTCAATCCCGTAAACTTGTTTCCTAGACATTGACAGCTTATTTAGGTAACTTTTGCTTGCAACATTGTCTTCGCTTCTGACTGCCTCGTATTCTTCCTCTGAAAAATTCTCCATGGAATTATGACTTTCACTGGCATTAACTTTGGTGATTTCTAAAAAAAAGGGTGGGGATCTTTACCCTAGTTATTATCTTTCTCCTTAATTTATTTACTGAAAAACAATAAGAAAAATTTTATCACTTTGTTTTAAATAATTCTTAAGGACTATAAATATTTTCAAAGTGAATCATTTAAGTATTTTAAAAAATGTAATAATAGTTCCTAATAGTTTATTTTCCATTGCACTTCCCATTATAAAAAATGCTTTAAAATGATCCAGAATCTGAATCCAGATTTGTGGAGAACTGTGCCAAGCTGTCATCCCACTATGTTTAAAATTTTTGTGTACATTGATCTATTCATTTTTGAGATATGCACGTGGAAACACAGCCACCCACACATGGACCCAATTGCAATACCCTCTCAGGGCAAGGATAAATATCAGAGCCTAGTCAGTAGGAAATGAAATTTTTGACAACACAGAAATACAGGGCTGTTTATCAATAGACAATTAATGAAAGTGACATTAAAGACAACTAGTAAGGTGAGTTATTTATCAATGTAAGATAAAGATAAAGATAAGAAAATCCCATAAGCAAAGACCACTCTTTATATGTAGATGAATAGACAAAGTGATAACACAAACAGTCAACAGCAGAAGAAGAATGAAATACTTGGCAATATTAAAAGTACAGGTTTATCAACATACAGATAACTGATCCATTTAATCCTTCATAAAAACCCAAAATCACATCAAGTTCTTACATATGAATCATCTTCAGCTGAAATATCATCAAATCAAATCAAATAAACTGCTGAAAATAAACATTTTGTCCCATGTTAACATATAATATACTTAAAAAAAAAAGAACATACAAACTTATGAGTATTTATCACTACTGAGGTCATAGCAAATAAAATTAAGAGGTCAGAAAGATGAAATATTTAATTAGACATAATCAGTTATCTTAAAAACTCAAATTTTTTAAAAACAACGATTATTTGATACACAATTCTTTAAAAATGAGATTGTTTCCAGTCTCCAAATTACAAAAATACAATAACTTACTGTACAGGATAAAAAAACCCAATGTAACTGGAAAACAATCTCATACACTCTAAATGTTTTGACGTATACTATTGCGTCATCCTCAGGAGTGTAATGTTTTGACAAAAAATAACACTTATTTATACAATTATCAAAACACAATTTACATATTAAAGAATTTCACTCCAACAAATTTTTTGAAAAAAATAATCAGTTACATAAGATCTAATAGAAACTATGTAAAGAACCTCTTCATTACTTAATGTACTGTTTTTATGTACTATATGATAGCTTCATAGCAGTAAAGTATATTTGACCTATCCACACTGGAAAAACCAGTCTTCAACAATAAAGAACAACCTCTACCTCTGAAAGTTATATTATAGCTCATAGTGACTTTAATATACAACTAGATTATTATAGAATAATTTGGCAAGTACATTACACCTGGAAATTAGTTTGTTTCTAAAATATACACACCAATGGAGGGAATGGTCATACGAGTTTGAGTTGGGTAAATTTCTCTATCACTGAGGTTATCATCAGGTTCAATAACTAACTGCCCAGCAGAATTCTGATGTCCTTCCCTTAAGTGATTCATCTTTCTGTCACAAAATCGAGTAACATACTTGCAGACAGTTGTTGGTGAGTCTACAGACTGTGGCTGATTTTTACTGATCACTGAATGTCGAAGGCTGTTTTGATCTCTGTTATCTCTTGTCCATTCCCATTTCACATCCCCATTCCCCAGAGAGGAGTATCTAGTTCTGTCTTTTCTGCATTGCTGTAATGCAATAGCCATTATTTTATATTAAAAAAGGTATTGAAATCTAATAATAAATAAAACTATGAATAAATCTGCTCTTTGCTTAAATAAAACTGGAGTGATTCAAACTATCTAAAAGTTAACCTTTATACTGAAAGTTATTACTTTTACAACAGTTATTTTTACTCAATAATTAAATTTTCAAACGTACATAGAACCCACTTCTATGCCTTAAGAAAATTCAGAGTTCACACGTTTCTTACTCAGACTCTCTTCCATTTCTTGTCTCAAGCTAAAAGTTTACTTACCTCGTATTCAAATCCATTTTCTTCTCTTTCTTCTAGTATATCACAGAGCTCATATTGCCCAAACTCATCTACACTACCCTACAATCAATAATATCTTTTTATACAAATATCGGCAATAAAAATTTAATACAGGCATCAATTAACAGAAGTCTAAGTTACTCAAAATTAGGAAATTGTATATTCTATTAAGTTTTTAAATGGAATAACTTGTGAAACTATATACCACTATATACTCACTCTGAACAAGACAGATAAATTAGCCAAAAATAAATAAATCCAAACTTATGATATATATTCAGTTTTGTGGTGCAATATTAATTTTATTAAAGTATCCATGTATAGTCTACCCTATTTATGCAACAAACTACATTTCAAACAACTGTACAGAAAAAGCTCCAACCCTGAATAAACAGAGGTGAAAATGTTAATCATATTTCATGTGATAGAATTACTAATGCTTACAGAACCAAAGTCTGTTAACAGACTTCAGAACATGAATTTCATAATTCTGTTCAAACATTCTGTGATCTTTCAACCATCTCCAAACGGGTTTAGTAACCCCTTCCTTAATCTGGAATTTGATTTCTGACCTTTGTCAGAATTAAACATTTCAAGTGATAGACTGGCAATTGGCTGAATACTCTGTACTCTAATTAAGTTCAAATGTGTGGCAAACAGATGAAACCACAACTTACGGCAACTTTTATTCTGCTCAAAAATTAAGTATGACTTATAAACAAACTATCATTCTTTGCTTTTTTGTTCATTTTAACTTATCAGTTACTTAAAATAATTAAGTAAAACAGTACTTGACAATATTTCACAGGCAAAGTTTTAGTCTTAATTCACATGCTGTAAATAATCATAACATTGTCTAAATCATTCCCCTCCAAGTGTATCTTTGAGGAGTAGATAAATGTATACAGGGTATGCCAAAATGAAGTATCAGCTGATCCTGCCTTTTTACCCACCAAGTAACCTGTATTATTATGGGTATTTGAGGAATGAATAGCATGAATGCTACAAGTGAATTCTTCTATACTATTAAATAGACACATATGCTGTTTGTGAGACATAAATTTTTTTTAAAAATAATTTTAGTCTGCTCTTGAACTTGACTTTTATATCAGATGTGCATCATAAAATGGCACTTAGTTATCATGAATAAATGAGATCTTAGATATTCCATGACTGCAAACAAACATAGCTGGCAAATTCAACTCCTTTTTTATTTTATTCTATTGACATTACTGTCACCCAAGGATTTTTGACTACTTTGCACATACACTTATTCTTACATTATCAGTGATAATGAACAATGGGCTTTCTTTAGGACAACCCTGTGTGTGTGTGTGTGTGTGTGTCTATACACGCAGACACACACACATATATACATATATATATAAAGCTAAACAAGAAATTTTCAATCATACAGATATTTATATGTTTATTCACTGATACTGAGTTTATAGTAGTTTAACTATCATTAATTAGTGTACAAATGCATAAGATAAACAGGTATTCCATTCAAAGCAAACATTAAATTGCACACACAGATTAGCGGAAACAAAATTCTGAAAGAGCATGTAATAGTTTTGCAAGGTACTGTTGAATTTAAAGAAACACAGTGTTGCAAGATTTTTAGGTGAACAACAATCAGTTTCAGCTATAAAAAAAGCAGATAGTCAAAAACATTGAGAAAGTATCCAAACAATGTCAAATATTTCTTAACAAGCATGTGTAGATGTATAGTGTTGTAATGGTTAAAATCATGTGATGAAGGAAAACAAGCAAATAATTCATGAAAAAGTTTGTGAGAAAGTTAGAAAGACTGATTATCCATGCAACATTTAGGAAAGTAAGTGACAGACAGAGCAACTGTGAAGGTAGCCACTTCCATAAACAACAGAGTCCAAGCAACACTGAATAACCAGAATCTTCTGTGTTAAAATGGAAACCACTGCTTTAATCCTGAACAGTGAGAGATGACTAGCCTTATAGTTTCATTATGATATACTGTATACAATAAAAACAGTCACTGCTTCTTAAAGTTTACGTAACCTCTGACCCTGTCCTCACTGATAACCATATGTTGGCTTTTGGGTAATACATCACTAACTGATGCTTAATGTCCTGATACCCATTAGACAAATAATGAAAGAAAGGATTCCATTTTCACACAAAATAACAAAATACAAGACATAGACACTGGCATCTCCTAAGCTACCTGAAACCTTTCGGGTGATAATTGGTTTGATTCAAAAGCCTGAGACCTGCGGGCCACATGGTTGACCAGTTCTGCAAGCTCCGTGTCCGACTCAGAGCCAGAATCAGAGCCCAGCTCATCAAATGATGCTCGTTTTCTGTATGGAACTGAGCTCTGTATGAACCAGTAGATAGGAAAGGAAGAGTTGTGAAAATTCAAGTCTTAATTAATCACACCAAATTCCTCATTTTATTCATAATGACAATACAAGAAACATCTTTTACACTATTGATAACCATTCACAGCTCTCAACTTGTTTTATCACCAAGATCTGCAATTCAGAAATAATCATTTAGCTTGAGAACTTTATATTGGTATAAAATCCACCATTTCGTAATCTTTAAAAGGAATGAGTGAATAATATGGATTATTTTTTAACAATTTGATGAAAATTACACAATTTTACAAAAAATTTAGTCTTACCCATTCACATCTTGATATATATTTTATTCATGTTATTACTATAAGGTATCTTTTATAAAGAAAACACAACAGTTATTTTCCTTTCTTTGCCTATAGAAGTGTGTGGAAAACAACAGTATTTCCTTATCTTTGATGCTTTATTAATTTCTACCTTCTGGTGATACTTCACCTACTAGAATACAATCTGTCACTACTTTATGGTTTAGTTGTTTAAAATTATATTTATATGCTAAATTGCTTTTTTGCATTTTCTTTTGTCACTTATACCACCCCATAATGAGTACAACCAATTAATTATAAATGACAATGCACTGTTTCATAAGTTGGGTGTCTTCACTGCAAGCAATATTTTTGGCTGTAAACCCAATAATATCTCACGAGGTTCAGCCAGTTTAGAAGAATTTGATTAGTCTTATCATCTATATAATAAAAATATAATAATACGTTACAAAACTTGATATACTTTTTGGTAAGACAAACCATTACCATATTTTTTAAATTTCTGTATGTTTCCCAATGCATTAAGCAACAACAAAAAACTGTTTCTCTTACCTTATGAGCTGAGGTCTTTATGAGAGCTTCTGGAATAACACAGGGCATCGAATCAGATGACAAACTATCTCCTGATTTCGTTCTAACTGTCACAGTTTTCTTGGCAAGAGGAAAGAGATCTTTCACTTGTAACAAAGCATGGTCTCCTATCAGTAAGAAAAGAGAGTAATTGCTAACATATGCCAAACAGCCACATAACACTTGTACTGTTTTTGTATATAATGGTGAGAATGGTAAAACTAAGGGACACAAATATAAATTTTGTCACAGTAGGAGTCTTCTCGTGCTAAGAGAGTTTCATCTTTCTAGCAGGGTAGTTGGCCTTTTGAATGGATTGTCTTCAGATATGGTAGATGCAGTTCATTTAAGGAAGTTTAACAGATAGCTTGATAAATATTTGAATGATAAAGACTAACTTTGAGTTTTTTAGTGTTTAGTTTAATTTAATGCATAGGATGGGCTAGATGGACCAAATGGTCCCTTGTTGTCCTTAAATGTTACATATCATGATTACTTTTTCCACATAAACATGACTTATACAGAAAACAGGAGTTTTTATGAAGATGTGAACGACTGCAACTACAAAATTAAATATACTTACTATCAGAAAGAAATTTTAAACGTGTGGATGTAAGGTCTGTGCTGCAAAAAGTACAAGTGCTATATGCAGCCCACACAGCCCATTTTTCAATCCCTAAATTAAGTGTAAATTATGTTCAATGTTAAACTAATTTCTGGAAAGCCACCCTTGAGTATGCATCCTAAAAATAAAATTAATTTTCTGGGAAAATCCAGGATTGGTATAGTTGCTCTTGCTCATATACACATTTAAAAAAGAAATTTAGATTATAAACCTCTTCATACACAGATGTACTACCAACCTGTAGGACTATAGACTTCTGCTACTTTCTTTCCAGCAGCAAAAATGGCATAACCAGTAACAGGTACCCCATTAGATGTCCCGGTGGGATTGATAGTGACTGGCAGCCAAGTAACCAACAGTGTGCCATCCTGAGGCCCTGCTTCGACTTGTATGTCCACTGGTGGATCAGGAAGCCCTAATAAAAGAAACATATGAATCTTATTTTCACATAGAACACAAAGTTTGAAGAATTCTACACAAAAAATATATTTCCACATTATATCTTCAACATTCAGATTTCCTAGATAATACCACAAATTTTTAGGTATGTGATTAGATATTTCAAGATATATATAAATTTGTGTGTGTGTGTATATATATAGACATAATATTGGGATTTTTGATACATTATTACAGTTAATACTAGAAATAAATAACCTTATAACACCAAAATGTTGTTCTTATTTAATCAGACACTCAACCTTTTGCTTTACAGCTTCTACAGGAGCATTCACTAAAACAAACCAAAACTGACAGTACAAAGCTTCAGATGTTTTAAATAATAAATTATTTTGAATTTATAACGTGCATTTGTGCAGCATGCTTTTGACATATTATGTAGTAAAGCTTATTGTTGAAAGAAAAGTATTGTTGAAATAATTAACTGCTACCTGTAGTAAATAAAAGTTCTATCAAGGTTACAGAGTGAAATAACAAAAAGATAGGATAAAAAATAAAATAATTATAATTATAGGTGCCATCCTTTGTCCCTATTCATCTGTGGTCATAGTTGTTCGATGAGGAGAGCTTCTTTGAATTTTCTGTCAGTGTACCTGGTGGCTTTGGTGAGGATTTGTATGGAGAATGTTGGTCTCAAGTCAAGTACTTCTTGTCTGTTAGTTAAAATGATCTGCAACTGATCTTCTTTCATGTTGTTGTTTATAAAGAGAGCCAATATGTGCTCCTATCCTTGTGTGTAGGGTTCTTCCGGTTTCTCCTATGTACATATGATGGCAGATGTTACATGTAAGCTGGTAAACAACATTGGAGACAAGACATTTATCTTTAGATTGCAAACACGTTTTTGTAAGACAGTTGGCTTTATTCCATTGTAGGGCAGTATACTGAGATTTTGAAATTTGGTTTTTTAGGGTTGGACCCTGGCCATTCTATAACTTCAATTGGCAGCTCAGATTTCCTGATTATAGTTTTCATTTTCTTAGAGATAACTTTGTCAATTAGAGGTGTTATAAAAATAACCTTTTTTGTGTTATCTTTGGAAAAGCATTTTTTTTCCTCCTTGTTTATCTGTGTTTTCTAATGCTGGAAGTGTGATGATGATTTTTGAACGTCATAGTTCTTGAAAATTTGTTCGATGTAAAAAGGTGGATATTCGTTGCTCAGAAGAAGTGATTTTAGTTCGGAGCATGTATTTTTTTTTTCACTGCAGTTGCGGTCAAAATTACTAGAAATTACTCTTGTGCATCATATATCACTGAACTTCAAACCATAAACACATAAAAAGATCTCTTCTCTCCCACAAATCACTGCCCAGGAAGGTTTTGAACCTGTTTGCTTGAGTGGACTTGAATGAATTGTTATTGTGAAAATTACTCTGTCTATCTGTAAAAACATAATGTCACAGTTACCAAGATTACGAAGATTTTTGTGCCTCCCCATTTCACACCCGAACTTATAAATATCAAACCAAACACATTTCTGACCTTACAAAATATGTAAAAATTCAAGCTAATTAAAGGGATAAGAAAAAAAAATCTGAGAAAAATAGTTTCTGTGAGGCATTATGAAAAATGTCACAAGATGCTTTTTTGCAGTTTCACTAGATCCTTTTGAGATCACTGGCTGCTATTGATGTTCAAGAATTGGATAAAGAAAGCTAAAAAAAAGGTTCATAAATCATTCAATTACTTTAATAGTGTATGTGCTTTTAAATGTATTTTATTTCGTCAAAGACCATAGTTTCCACTATCAAAGATGTTCAAATTAGCAAGAAACTAGTAGTAAACAACATAGCAAAACCTGGTTTGTTCAATAATGTTATTCCAAAATGTTGGCAGTATTTGTGGCTATCTTCTAGTTATTCTTCTTATGCTGAAGAATGTTTTAGGTTGTTTTTTTTGTTTGTTTGTATATCACAACAGAAATCAAACCCTGAATTTTAGTACTATAAAATTAAGCTTATATTGGTGAGCCACAAGAGGAATTTTGAGTTCTATGCTAACCTCAAAACATTATTTGTCATTTTCCCAAGTAAAGACGGTTAATTATTTATTAAAACAAAAATTGCCTAAGTCTATCTTGAGACATTGGGGTGCTTTGAAACTGAACAATCAAAGAGATTGCAAACCCTCGTCTCACCTCTCCTATTTGAGATTGCAAGCATTTATATTGGATAATGTAAAATTTCACTTTAAAAAACTCAGAAGATCCTTCTCAGATCTAGAATGATCAATGACATGGATCATTTTTTGTAGTGTGATGAGGAGCCTCAACCTTAATGTGACCAACTCCGGTCATAATTTACAGAATTATTAACCGAAAACTGTGAAAATGCTCTATCTCCCCATTATAAGAAATTCTTCAAAGTGATCCAGAATCCAGATCAAATTTGGGGAATACTGTTCCATACTGACTTACTATCTTGTGTAAAATTTTCGTGTACATCAGTCTATTAGTTTGAGAAATGCATGCAGAAACACAGACACATATGGACCCGATTGCAATACCCTTGCAGGATGAAGGTAATTAACCAGCTTTGAGAAATAGATCAAGTGATTAACAAATTTGCTGAATAAATAATTAGTCAATCATTGTAATAGACACACTAATCAATGTATTATAGCCTAACTCATGTTTTTATACTGTTCAAGTAATTTCTAATCTTTCAAGAGGTTTCTAATTATTAAGTCATGCCCATCACATCAAAAACTTCCTCTGGTTAAGCAAGAATACAAACATCTTAATTAAAAAACAACAACATAAATTACAATAACATCTTAAAATGTATTTTTTTTCACCTCACTTTACACTTATAAATACCTTTTGGAAGTGTTCGAAATTCAACAAACATTGTCAGCATATCTAATTTTTTAGGGTTTCTCTTTGCATTGTACAGCAATTTTCCTGGCTTGGCACGGATTGATACTTTGTACTGTGTGTTGGGTACAAGACCTGCAGAATGACGAAAAATCACCTTAAAGTACATTCAGTTTAACCATTTCAGTGTGCGTGTGTGAATTATATATATAAATCTGTAACTTAAAAACATCACATAAAGAAGATCTTGATTTTTTTAATATTCTAGTAAAGCTAAAGTACTTGTAAACACTTTTTCTTTAGTCTATTTCTTCTACATTCACAGAATCTGTTGTCTTTGATAAGTCCCAAATCTTACCTAGAGAGATCAGGACACATTTATTCCCAAACTGGGTATAATGTCATAGTTAGGAACATACTTGACAGATCTGGATACACAGTTTCCTGATCTTTATTGTGTTCATTTTTCAATATTTACACTTATCAAAACAGTAATTACTAATGTAGCCTTCTCCTGTTGAGCTATGGTTGCACAATCCACTCCAGGATAAATAAGAGTAACTTCATGTTTATGCAGTTCTTCTTTCTTAGAAGCAATCAAATATATTAAGTAGGTGGCTTGCTCAAAATGGAAGTTAATATCAATTATGTACATATTTTACTGACAAACCTATTAAAGATTACATTCAGTGCTAGTTTTTTTTTATAAACTGATCACAACCATCCACACTTTTTAAACAAAGACTGACCCCATCCACCCTCATCTTTTGAGAGTATACTGTAATTCAATCTTATACTTGAACCTTTTATGAAGCCTTTTCTAATAATCTTTAGTGAAAAAGACAAAATTAGTGTACCACTAAGCCATCTACTTATACCAATGGTTAATATTAGAATGAGAGACATCAATAGCTTCAGGTATGACTCTTGTTTTAGACGACCAAGCTACGTATGATTAATTACAAATTAAAGTGTGCTAAATCTTAAAAATTAGGTTTGGTAGGGTAAATCCAAATTTATAGACTGTTTTTCTAAAATCAAAACTTCTCTCTTTATTATTATTATGGTACACCTTTGTACTTCAAGTAACTGATACCTACATTGATGATTTCCTAACTAAGGCAATGCATCCCATGACAACTAATGCAAAACCACTGGTTTCCATTGATATATTGACTAAATCTTTCCTAAAAAAATAGTATTTAAGTAATTGTTTTACAGACTTAAGCAAAAACTTCAAAAGATATAATACCTTTAAGGTAGCCAAAAAAAAAAAAAGAGACAAAACAACTACATTTTCAAAATTTCTGCGTAACTGAATATTGAGACCTTTTGAAATGTATTTTCGAAGTAAACTGGACCTTGGCATATTGGTTCAACAAAATTGTGATTATAACTTGAATGTGTAAAATTTTTAACAGTCATTTTTAAACATTCTTAGACAAAAGAAGTCTCATGTAAACCTGTGATATTGTGTCTAAATATTCCTGGTTTTACCACTTGTATCTCAACATTATTCACTGCTATTGCATGGTTGAAGTTACTGTTGCTAGGTAACCAACTAATCACTGCTGAGGTGGAGGTTACATTAGAAGCCTTGATGCAGCTTGGAGCCAATGGAATATCTAGAGAGGAAGAAATAAAAAATGTTTTAAAGTAGAAGCTAATGCACATATAAATATTTTTTTTTAGAGTAAAGCTTATAGTATACTAACATTTCAATTGAAAGACTGTGACAAATTAAATAGAAAACAAGTGCACATTGTATTAAAAAACCTTTGCTCCCACTAATGTTATACTCTATGTTTAAGTCCCCTATATAGGATGATGTAATACTTGTCCACAAAATTGGGGCATATTTGCTATGTACAACAACCTTTTGACCCATGACCTTCAAAATTAATTAGAATCAGAACTCTGTATGTAGTACCTGATGTATAAGTTTGGTCAATGTACATTCATTCAATCTAGAGATATCTTCTTCACAAACTTGGGATGGATGGACAGGGGCAAATCAATATATGCTTTGCAGTGTGTGTGTGTGTGGTGGGGGTGTCGGGGGGGGGGTTCATTAATCACAAAGGTTTAATGACAAATGAATATATACTACATCATAAATTTCTACATTGTAATGTAAATAGTTTGGTTCACTTGAATTTGACGCAAAGCTACACGAGGGTTATCTGCACTAGCTGTCCCTAATTTAGCAGTGAAAGGCTAGAGGGAGGGCAGCTAATCATCACAACCAACCGCCAATCCTTGGGCTACTCTTTTACCAACGAATAGTGGGATTGACTGTAACATTATAATGCTCTCATGGCTGAAAGGGTAAGCATGTTTGATGGGACGGGAATTTGAATTCGAAACCCACAGATTGCGAGTCGATCACCCTAACCACCTGGTCATGCCAGGCCAAATGTAAATAGACTGTGTGTTGTATATTTTACATGTGTATAGTGCAAATTACAAATATATGTAATTACCTGAAAAAACTAAGAAACTATTACTTGTTCCAATGAATGTTACTTAACTAGTGTACTCTGAAAATATATCTGACTTTAAAACTGTATAAATAGTACTTCATATATCAAACAAAATCCCACTGAACTATAGAGAACCACTATTCTAATTTTACAAGTGACTGCAGTGATTTCACACAATGTACATACAGAAGAAACATTTTACTGAAATACACAATTCTAAGTTTTCAAATACGTCAAATGTATTTTTGGTCCAATTTTTTAACATTTTCTTTCATATGCAAAGTATAACATTCACTAACCTTTACCAATTGTTATGGTACAGGCTGCATCTCGAGAATGATGACCCATTGATGTGACAGACTGAACACTAATCCTATGGGGCTGAAAAAAAAGTTGTGGAAGACACTTAAAAGAGACTCCATTGTAGTTCTCAAATGTAACTAAATGCAAGCTGGTAAAATAACAAATATCACAATTCTTTAAGTTTGTGTTCACAATGGTAATGGTATTAATAGTCTCTAGAATGAACTAGTCAGTATGGGACTTCATTTGTACACATTTTTACGTACATATTCCACCGAGACAAACCTATTAAAGATTACATTCAACACTAATTTTATTTTTTATAAATTGATCACGGCCACCCCCACTTTTTTGAGAGTATACTGTAACTTAATCTGCACCCAACATACATCGAACCTTTACTCATGATAGTCCATGAGTTGGTATGGTCTGGTGCGAGCCTTATTTATGAAGTAAGATATTGCAAGGCAACCTCCAGCAGTCTTGTGGAACACCCCATCTTTTCTGCATGATGCAGATTTACATTTAAGTATACCTAATCAGGCATCACTTAACACAGAGAGGATCCAGGAAATGAGAAAAGGCCACTGGAAAAGGAAGAAATAAAAGGAAGAACTTAAATTTCAGATTCAAAATGATGTATGAAGAATGGTGATGGATGGTAAATGATAGCCAGATGAAGAGGAGACAACCAAATGATGCAGATATTGGGCTATAAATGTGTGAGGCATGGTCCACATGCCAACTTGTACAATCTCTTCTAATGGATGAAGGAAGTAGGTAGCCAGGTAAAAGGTGAGATTACATCTCTGGTGAGGGATGAAACTTGGAAAATGCGATAAGAATCCTTGGATAACAACCCATAAGTAAGACGAATAAGCTGATGAATCCATCCAGTAAGGGTGATACGAGAAAGATCATGGGTAGAGGAAGTATTCCAGGGTATAAAAAGATGGGAATGGGATCCATGGAAGGAAGCAGTGTGGTTGACATAACAAAGCAGGGCATGTAATGGACAAAGGATCAGAATGGGAAACAAGAAATGGAGGAGAGGGAAATAAGAGTGAAGGTGATGTCCCCTTCATGCACCACTGATGTCTTGGGGAAAAACTACAATCCAGGTAAAGAAGGACATAGATAAGAGGAAAATAGAAGACATCGATAGTGAAGATATCTGACTTACGATGACCACATGGGATGATGAGTAAGAAACACATTTTGAAGGAGAAGTGGTACAATGAGCAAGTGGTCAAAAGTTCAAAGGGAGGAAGGGTAAGAGCATGAAGGACAACAACAAGATTCCAATCAGGTAGAGGACTCAGACAGGGTGGATGAATCAGGCAAAAGGAGCAAAACAGGAGAGAGAAAAAATGCAACAATGGTGGAAAGTGATAAACCATTCTCGAAGAGCTAACTAAAGAAATTGGAAAGGTGGGATACATTAGGTTGGGAAGGTGAGAAACTAAGGCACAAAGACCAACTCCAGAAAATGCACCATTTCCTCTTGGAAACATTTAAAGAAGAAGGGAGGCTACCCTCATTGAGAGGAGTCGGGATTGTCTTGCAAGGGACCAGACAAAATCCACACATGAAGCTGGATTGTGGTGATAGTTGGATGAAATATGGCAGATTGAGTTGACATAGAAGGGGTTGGGAAATCAGATGAAATATGAGAGGGGATGATTGAAGGAGGTTGAGGATCAGAAATTATGACTAAGCAGGCCAGAATGGAGAGATTAACATGGCATGGCTTTGATAAGGGAGAGAACACAAGAAAGGAGATAGATAGGAGGATAAGTCTAAACGTAAAGATTGGTCCAATCCTGACTGAAGGCATCCATTGCCAAAGTCAAAGGATGTGGAACAGGAAATCAGAAGAGGGGAAGTTTGGTACTGAGATTGGTGGCAAAAGCAACTAAGAGAGGAGTATTAAACAGGAAGCATAACGATCGAAATGCTGAAGGAGCAAGAGACCACTCCATAGGTAGAATCTTGTGAAGATATGACAACCAATCCATTACAAGATCTAGAGCACCTGGGGATGTGACAAGCAAGAGCACAAACTTGTTGAAACTGGGCCCAAAAAAGGAGATCCAACATTTAAAAGCAAATTGAACAGTAATGGATGCTCCCTTATCAATTGATGTAAGAGATACCAGTGAAATTGTTGGAATGGGTTACGACCTAATAGCCCCTTACTAAAGGTGTAGGAAATAATACAATGCTCAACAAACTACAAGAAGTTCCAAAAAGTTGATGTGGAGGGAAGATTCAACCATCGTTCAATAACTGGAGATCTCATAAGAATCCAGATATATTTCTCACCTTTTAAGAGAAGCATCTGTAAAAAGATGCAAATCAGAACAGGAAGGAGGTAGAAAAACGCCAGCCAAGGTGTTATCTCTGTCAAGCCATCAGGAAAAATTGACTCATAGGGAAAAGGGGAGGAGGATGGTAGAGTCCAAGGGATCCCAAATGAGATTCTGTTGATCATGCAACACCCACTGAAGACAATGCATGTGTGCACAACCCCAGGTTATGAGGGTATCCATGGAAACCCAGGTCCCCAAAGGACATAGAACCTCACATGCAGGTAGAGAAGGAAAGGACTTGGCTTTAGAAACCAAAAGCTCCATTGTCCTCTGAAGAGAAGGCTGGGAACTGCTGAGGTAGTTATTGAAAAATACCCCCAAATGGATAAGATAGTGAATGTGAGGACTGCCTCATGTACAACGAAATGGGTATGTTAGTGAGAGGCTTGTTGAGATGGAGCTAAAAGGAGCCTATCAACCATACGAAGATGGTGGGCAAAGGGTTTGACCAAACAACAGATGACATATGGCATTGATGGCAGACCGAAAAGGTAGAGAGCAGAACTGAAACACTCGATCCCCATAAACAAACCAAAGGTAATGTCTGTATGCAGGAGAGATGAGGATATGAAAGTAAGGCTCCGAGATATCGACCTTGGTCATCCAAAGACCTGGAGTGAATGACCAACGAAGGATGAGGACAACTCAATGACGAACTACAAGAGGATGATGAAGTGGTTGAGGTTGGAGAGATCAATGACAGAACATCAATTATCAGTTTCTTGGGAATCACAAACAACTGGGAATAAAACCATAGAAAAGTGTGAAATACTTGTTCAATAACATCCTTGTGTAAAATATTGTGAACAGCCTTTGAGAGACACTGGTATGAAATGGAATCCCAAGGGGAAGGGGGGGGGGATTAAAGGAATAGTCCTTCTGTTAGAATCTAAAGAAACAGGGATCTGCAGTGAATGGGCACCATAGGTGAACAAATCTGACTAACTGTGCCCCCACAGTGCCAAAACCCACAAAATAGTCACTGATGAAACTGCTGTCAGAAAACACGATGGTGGAAAATTTGGCTACTTGTCATAGAAACCCAGGAATGTGGCACTTGTAGTGGAGAGGATGCAGGGGGTGAGACACAAAGAGAGGGGTAGAAGAGGTTTGGGAAATATGAGAAACATGGGAGGAGTACTGATGTACAGCTTCCACCCAAGACTCCAAAGTATCAGGAAGATCCCCAAAAATAGACTGTTGTAAAAAGGGGCCATATAGAGGACTTCCAAATAGGAAGCAGGCAGGTGCACATGAGACAAGAGGGCATCCATGCCAAGGAGATCCAACTAACAAAGGAACATGTATGAAGGGATAAGGCTGAAGAAGATAAGTGCACCAACATGGAAAAGAGAATAGTATGTGTATCTGCTGAAAACTCTTTAGTGGAACAATGGATAGCCTCAGAAGGAAGGTGGATGGAAGAGAGATGATAGGTAACATATCTGGGAAATCATGAATGAAAAAGCCAAATGAGGATGAAGAAAATCCAGAGGGATAGCACAAGATGATGCACCAAAGGCTGTCCAAATCCTCACTGTCAGTACCAGATTCAACCTGAAATGAGAGATCCAACTGAGGTTCCAGAAACGTAGAAGGGCTACATGTAGTTAACAACTCATGATGCACCATGGCCAAAACCTCCTTCGCAAAAAAGTGTGGAGCCTGGAGCCACAGATGTAGTAAGTTGTGGTGGATCAGTCGTGGCCAGAACCATAACAGAAAGCATTGTAGCAAAATTGTGTGAAAATGAAAAAGAAAAATATTCCACAAATACTAAATAATCAGCAAATAACTGACAGCAAACTACAAGTTATCAAACACATTAGAATTAACTAAAAGTGCATGTGAGAATTGTAACTACAGAGCAAAAATTGAGCACAACTGCGCACTGGAATGTCAACTTGAGAAGTGATGATAATATTCTACAATATAGAGGGAGTCAGCTCCACTAGGAGGATGTGTGTCACACTACCATTGGTGGAGGGTTGCATGCTACAGCACAGCTACACCACGAGAAATTATGTAAGGGTAGGTGGGAGTACCAAGGCTAGAGGCGAGTGAAAATTGCCCATATAGAGGGCAGCAAAAGTCAAGAAAAACTATCGTGTGTGAGGAGTTAAGGTATTGTATCAGAAATTAATACTGACTAATAATTATTTTATCTGTAATAATGATTTCTTACATCAAGTAAGAAGAAATACCATGGCTATAGAAATGGCACTTACCTATGCTATTTTAGTAATGAGCTTCTTAGAAGAGATGTATATCATTATTGATCAAAGAATGATGTCACATGCTACGTCTTATGTAATGCCGTATCAGTTCAAATACACTGATGATTGTTTTATTATTTGGAATGACGATTTAAACTGATTTCATTTTAGATCCAAGCATTAAATTTACTGTTTAAAAGTTTTCAAAATCTATACATTTCTTGGATATATTAATTGAAATATCTGGCACTGGCTCTTTAGAAACCGATATTTTTTATAAAATGACCAATTCCCACGCTTATTTAGATCTTAGAAATAACCAACATAGACAGATTGTTAACAATAAAGAAAAAAGAAATATTAGATCAAATGAATTAAATGTATTTTTATTAAATAGAATAATCCAGAGGGCATCATTGACAACTGTATTTTGAGTCAAATTATATGGATCTAAAGCTAATGATCAGTCAGAAATGTTACCAATCATCACTATATATATACTCCAGGGTTAAAAGTTTTATTGCCTCCTTTACATTTTGCAATACAAAAAAATAGAGTTGTAATGAATATTAATGTTATTGTAGCTTATAGACAACCTAAAAACTTGAACTGTTTACTTTGTTATAAATAGTTATATTTCATTTACAAACAGTTATTGCTTATGGATTTTAATAATATTATTATCAATATTATTTACATAAATTTTTAAACTATTTTTACTGGGATATATGTGCTTATATATAGATATTTTTCAATTTTATCAAAAGTTATGTATTTAATATATTATGTATTGTATTTAATTAGGTTGGCTGAAGAGCAGTACTAAAGCTGCAAAAGTGCACCACCCTATCAAAATCAAAAACATAAATAAAAAGATATGATATTTTGAACCTGATGCTGCTTTGAATAGTTTTATATACAAGTTATTATCATTGAGTAAGAAAAAAAACTGACCTGAAAAAATATTGTATTAGATATATACTGAAAGACAAAGTACTAACTGACCTGTGAGGAATCCACACCCTCAACTAAAGCACGAGTTCTTTCAGAACTATTTATCATGGCTTTCAATATACCATCTACATAAACATGGTACATTTTTATATTTCCTTTAGCACCCTCTGGTGGAAGCCAACCAATTAAGATACTCTTGTTCAACTGCCTTTCCAAAATCAGCCTTTGAGGAGGGGGAACTGTAACACAAAGCATTTTTGAACAACCAGATAGTTGCTAACTTCAGGTTAGAAAAGATTCATAGAATATATGAGATAAAGGTAAAATAAAAAATTATTTTTAACTTAAATAATACACACACATAGTTCACATATTCAAGCAATATGGAGATATGGAGACAAAGTATGAATAAAAGGAAAAGGTTTATAAACAACAAAACTTATCAACAAAGAAAAGCTTCACTGTAGAAATGATTTCTGTATATGAGTTAAGCCTAACCATTATCTATTTTGTCAATTTCTTTTATAGTACATCCATTTGGGAGTATTTTTCAAGTATTAACTAGAGGTCAAAATTTTGAAGGATTCTTTCCTCACACTAAACACGTGTATAACTTAATAAAATAGTCTATTTTACTATCATTGTGAACCTATAAATGATTTAAAAAGCATCTTTATAGCTACAACCTAGAAAAGTGAAATTTGAGATATTTGAGGGTGAAAAATATAGCCACTGGTTTTTTCACAATAAATCACCTTTTCCCATGATTTACTCGAGCCTTGTAGCTTATAAAAGTTTCTTTCTTGTTACAAAAATAGTTGCGCAGCATGCATATAACTCCATCTTCTACTTTTGATATTCAGAAATGTTTTAACAAAAGCACAATGCTTTTAATAATTTGTTAATGTTCTTAAAAAATATTGCACATTCTAAAATTGATCTCTTTAAAAATCATTTAATAACTTCAGTTAATCAGTAGATGTGTTTCAAGTCTTTTAATATTCTTTACAATATGCATGGCTAGCCAAATAATCCCCATATTTTAACAATACCCTTATAATCACCTGTTCCTATGACAAACTACAAAATATAACAGAAAATCACTCAAAATCATCCAATAGCTCAGTTATCTATAACTAAAACAAATGATTGAAACATATGTCAAGTTAAGTTTCTGATTCATGAGAATAATATTTTCTAAATAGTTCAAGAGCAATGAGCAACATCCACAATAATAATATTTTATACAATTAACACTGTTATTGAAATCATCACAATTTTTATGTCTTAGAGAAACTTGGTTGCTCTCAAACACCTGAGTTTTCCTTCATTTTTATTCAAAAAATTATTACAGTGCTTGAGAAGCTGTGTTCACCTGGACCATCCATTTCTCGTTCAACATCAGAAAGATCATCCTCATCAACTTCTTCTATATCCTTCAGATCAATGTAGTCATTCATACGATGATAATCCTCTAAAATTAGAAATTACAAATGCTAAGGTATTCCTTATTCAATAAAAAACAAGAAAGCTGTAAAATTAATCTCAAATGACTATACTAAAACCAATCATTACTCCTAGATGCTAAGCACTATTTGGAATCAGTAGAGTAGTTTGTGTTAAGTTTTCTGTATCATCAAGACTATTGAAATGGGCACAAGAAAACTATTGTCCTCATACACTAGATTTATTATGAAAAACTTACAGGGAAGAGTGGTTTACTCGTTATACCAGAGCCCTTTTCAGTGAAAAGTACACTAAAGAGCTGTTGTCAAGATGCATGGTTGTCAGATAAAGCATTACTCCAGACATAATGACATGAACTGTAACAATGCAGTGAGGTTCCAAAATCATTTTAATATACTGTACTCAACCCTCTGTAGATGTAAGCACTGTTTAAAATCAATAGTTATCATAAATTTCATTCTCAGATCATAACTCTACAACTAGTCATTAATCCTAGTTGTAAACCACTGTTTGAAATCAATAGATTAGCTGGTGTGTAGTTTCATTCTCCAAGTTCATTAATTGTTCTTCATTAAGACTGAGACCTGTACAGGATGAGTATTCATGATGGTTAAAACCTGCATAGCAATAAGTCTTCAAATTGTAATAAGTATTAAAAAACGTAGGATCCTTTTGTACATCAAATTTATTGTCTTTCATTAACCTTTGTACAGTTTATTTATGAAAAACAACAGCTGCTTGTATCAACAGTAAGTTAGCAACATACCAGCTGGCAGAGAGTACATTTCTTCTGGCCCACTTGAACCACTAAAGTCATAGTCCGTACCATGAGCATAACTAGCACTGCTGTCATCTGGATCCCTGTTTCCATACAGCACTGTTGCTTGGAAGTCAAACAGATTTTCATCTAATATTGAAGACCAGAAAAATATTTCAAAAAGATTTTTTAGACCAGATTACTTCCTTATGATTCTTGATCAGGGATTGTTCAATAGAAATATGGCAGCTGTATCACTAAAATTCTCATTTATTTAAAAAATCTTTTACTGAGATAATAGTCACTCCTATTGTATATATTGTATATCAAAATTTACATTCAAATTTATAATTATAAAATTTTTAATAACAGGCCTTTTCTGTATTATCTAGACAAATAAAACAGTCTCATGAGTGGATATCATTACACTTAATTATACAAATGTTAACCTTCAAGTCTGAGCTGGCTCTGTCTAGATTTCATAACCTCTTTTTTAATTAGTTTTTGTTTATAATTATACCTGTACCTACCTACTATCTACCCTCTAATTGGTTATTAATTTTCCCAGTTAAGTATACATTCCCCTTTCTGTTATCTATCTTTTGATTGGTTATTAGCTTTTGAAGATAATTATATATGCCACTATGTACTGTCTATTCAATGACTGGTCATTAATTTTCACAATTATATATGTCCCTATGTACTGTAAGTCCACTAGTTTATCATTAGTGTTAATGGTTAATGATACATGTTCCTATTGACTATCAATGTTTTGACTGGTTGTTACTTTTCAGAGTCAATTTTACATGTTCTTATTTACTAGCTATTTTCTGGTTAGTTCCTAGTTTTCATAATTAATTATACCATAAATAACTATCTATGGTCATATTAAGTGCATTTAATAACACCTGTCCCAATTGGTGGATTGAGGATTAAAAACAACATGGGAAAATTATTATAATACCTAACTGTTAATGATGTCAGGAGAAATGGATTCCCAAAACAACTGAATTGGGTGCTTTACTTAATGCTACATAGCCTATATGTATTAGTACTATTCATAAAGTTCACAGGTTAAACAAAAATACACTGTGCAAAATTTTCCACTTAAACCCAGTGTTTATTACTGTCAAGTTTTTATATGTATGGATGAGCTGGATTCTTTGCTGTAGGTGTCTGTGACTTTTTGGCAATAAATTGCAACAATAAACAAACAGTAACACAGTCCATTTGTTATAAAATAATATATAAAATAAGTCAAATGTATATACAAATGTTTGTTCCACAGTTGTATTCAGAGCTTTAAATAATTATACCTTTTTGTCAAAGTCCACACAGGCTGATTCAGTTACCTTAGAGCACAATTAACAAGACAAATTATTTTTCTTTGATCTGTTATTACAATACAATCCGTGATAATTTCACTTACATAACACTGTTGGTTACCACAGTTGTATCCAAACCTTTAAATAATTTATCTCTTTTTGTCAAAATTCACACAAGTAGGTTCGGTTAGAACACAACTGACAAGACAAATTATTTCTTCTGTACTCTGTTACTACAATACAGTATGTGATAATTTTACTTTAAAAATTGCAACTATACACTCTTTATGGCTAAACTCACAATCATGCAGTTTAGATCTATCTATTATATCTAACTAACTATATTACTCAAACTACATTTTGTGTGCGTTTTTATAACCCATCCGAAGCCTAGAACTTTCTATACACTACTAGATATTATGATGCAATAATGCTCAATCCAAACAAGAAGAAAAACTTAGAAGGTTCTAGTAACATGATGTAATAATACAACAAGCACCAATTCACAACACTTGAACTACACATTTTATGATTTGTACACAGTTATATAAACAAACCTGTGATAAACTGTCGCTTCTAAAAAATAAATAAATTTTACACTTGCATAAAACTTAAATTGAAAGAGCCATGTGCATCTAGCAGTTACATTTGTTACCCATCTTACTAAAGTATAGACCTATATGACAACAAAAGTTTGTGAACTGAAACTATTTCACACAAAAAGAACTAAAAGAGTAATGTAATTATTCATTTATCACTCATCCATGGTACACTTATGCCATACTTTATAAGCTGGTAATGAGAAATTAAGCACCTGATTAAGCCCAATTTGAATAGTGATAAAAAGAAAGTACAAAATATTTAGATGGACCAGCGTCTTACTGTGGACTTTCTCAGCAGCCCTATCTGCCTCTGCCTGTCCCTTTACACTGTTAATCCCATTCAGTTTATGCATTAATTACACAGTCCTGTGAATTTAAACTTCATAAAAGTTGTTTTGGTTTTAATAACAGATTTTACATAATTCAGCTATGCATAATTCAAAAATAATATTAGTTTTTTTTTGTATCACATAAAGATTTTTTCAAATCAGGAAGAAGAAATTAAACTCTTACTTAGATCAAATTATTATTTCATTTACCACAATGAACATTTTTATTACTATGTTTGTTAGTGTAAATATACAAACAAACTGAAGAAAATGGAAGAACACTGATGTCAAAAGAATATGAATCTTCATTCACCCTGATTCTTTTTTGTGAAATCTACATCTTTTAGTCTCAAAACTACGTGTTGTGGTCTTTCTTTTATGTACTACATTATGTTTTGTGAAAAATCTGTACTTGATGGAGAAAAATGGATATTATTTTCAGTTTCTGCGTACAGGAATTACTGTAGAACATGTAAAAATTTCAAGACAATAAAACTATCACAAGCCTGTGTTATTTAAAAGGCCTTAAACTTTATTTTCTTACAGGTCTGAAACTTTAATAAAAAAATTAAGACAATAAAATCAACTAATTAAATCAACAAACAATATAAATCAGCAACTTAGATAAAGGAGACAAAAAAAAAGGCTGTAGCCAGTTTAAACTAATATAATGATTTGCATTATTTACTTACTTAATACATAACATTTACAACTTTCAAAAAAACAATGTAATTTCATCATTCTTTCAATTTTATCTTGTACAGAGATACCGATGAGAAGTGGAATTCCCCAATACTAGTATACCTCAGTGACAAATGATGAATTGAATAACAGACTGGGCTTCATATATATTTTTAAAAGAAGGGGTTAGTTTCTTATTATGAAACAAATTCCTTCATTGTTTAAAATAAAATACTTACCATAAAGTAATTCAACAAAGTTTGAAGGTACAAGACCTTTTCTGCCATCAAGAAGTTCCCCACTGAAAAATCCATCCTGGTAGCAGAAAAGATAAATTGTTACATCTTGGTAAAGACTGAATTTCTTAGTTTAATATATTTTTATCTTTAGTTGTGTTTAATTAATTAAAGAAAATTATTTTAATAAGTAACACTATGTTTCTTTTTTATAAAATTTAAAGTTAAATTAAATTATCCAACTTAACAAGTTATCCAACTTAACCAATAACTTTTCAAAGACATATTACATAAAATAACCATAATTAAGAACAAGTTAATAGTTCCAAACATTCATACATTTTATTAGTAACTTGGAGTTGATTAGGAAAAAAAAAGGTGTACAACATGAATTTATTAACTCACCAAAGCCAAGAAAAAACGAATAAAAATTAGAGCCATGGACACAATCCTATTAAAACAGTTACACATTTTTACAAACTTTTTCAATGCCTCCATTTTCTCCAGCTTCTGACTCTTATTTATGTAATGGTCAGTTGTCCCAGAAGAATGCATGAAACTGAATGGGAGCATTACATTTTTCATAACAAATGGTATGTTTTCAGTTTTGTGACCATCCCTTTAACTTAGTGTTACTACATTTCTATTTAAAAACATGACATACCAAATGGGATGACTTATAATAAGAAAAAACAACAAAATTATTCTGAGTCAATAATTTTATTTTTTATCATGGTAAAGAACCTTAATAAGCTAGTCAAAATGTTTTAACAAATTTATTTGTGCTTCTTTCCCATGTTGTTCCACTGACCAGCTCAAATTGAGAATGGCAAGTTGTCAAGTATTAACTACAAATAAACTTCTATCTTTGAATCTCAGCACCACGAATTCAGGATAGAGCTCATCACCATATAGCTAGTTTTCAAAAGATACTTTAACAACTAGAAATCATCTCATGCTTGTAAGCTGTAAATCTACACAATGATACATTTTAGTACATCTGATAACATTATCTTGTTCTTCAAGAAAAAGAAAAAAACATACTTCATCCATTTCTCCAAAAATCAGGACATAATCCCCAGCACTTAACTCTAACTCAGCCTCAGGATTTTCATTTGGTGACTGTTGTAAGGGGTCATACGAATATCTGGCCATGTATACTCTACAGTGACCTCTACCTGGCAATTCAATATGATCAACTGAAGATTTTCCAAGGGCATCATCTTCAGTCCCTATCATCTGGTACATGTCATCCACAGAGGTAGCCATCCCTGACATAAAATTCCACTACTTACTAAACACAATTGCAAAATCTAGGTAATATATTTTAATTCTTAGCATATTTGCCCCCCAGTGGCTCAGTAGTAAGTATACAGGCTTACAACACTAAAAATTGGGTTTCAATATCTGTGGTGGGCAGAGAATAAATAGCCTATTTTGTAGCTTTGTGCTTAACAAAACAAACCTAAGCATATCTATAAACTAGTAATTTCTAAGATCACTTTGAGCTAATTGTCTGTCCTTCATTATTGACCTCCTAAATAATTCTTGATAAAAACCAGTTTCCTTTGTTGTTGTTTTTTTACACGAACAAATATCAAATGTCTTTCTCTTCTTGTTCAAGTGGTCATTTTATTCATTTATTTCAAAATTATAAAACAAAATAATTTTCCAACTAATTACTAAAATTACATTTACCACTGTCAACTTGAGCTGGACTAGCTGCTGTAATGGCAGGAACAATAGCTGATGTTATTTGTGGAGTTATGTATGTTGATGTAGGAGTCATCTGTGGACAAGTGTACGTGGCCATTACATGTACTCTGGATGCAGGAGCAGTAATGATGGACACAGGGGCTGGTGAAACTATAGGCCTGGCTGTTTGGAATGGTGTTGCGAATGAAGTGGCTGTCATACTAAAAGGGGGTGCTGTAGAATAAGATACAACACTTGGGCCAAATAAACTTTGTACGGCTGAAAGATGGCTTGAAGTCCAAGATACTGAAGAGGAGATAAGAAAAATCTATACTTACTTCAACAGTAAACTTTAGGAAATTTTTAAACTCATTCAAATGACTTTTGTTTCACACAAACACAAAAATCATAAAAATTATCAACTTCATGACACAAAATGCCTCCCCATAATTGTGCAAAATAATAAGAGTATAAACAAAAGTATTTCTTCAATAATGTTCAAAATTAGGTTTCTGCAAAAACTCATGAGTATTTTGAGTTACTTAAAAACAATTTATGGGAAAGCACAATTTACTTACCATATCCAGGTATTTGACGGTCAAGTTCAGCAAGAAGCTTATCATCCTGTTCTAATTTGGCCATGAGAAGATCAAGCTCTCTACGTGTAACAGAAGGTCCTTTGGCAATTATGAAAACAAAGCAAAACATGATGACATTTTGAAAGTAAGCTTTGATCCAGTTTATGATCGATTAAGTCAAATGAAACCCGAAGGGAAATAAACGTACAAACACAGAAAGTAAAATAAATTTTAAAATCTAATAAAGTTATTACTTCTACATATACTGAATGTAGAAAACAATTTATGAATAGCTGGAATTATAATACTCATCTTTGACATGGTAAACCAACTGTTATAAGATAATGCCAATCCCCCCCCCCCTCCATTTTCAGTTCATTTTTATGGTTTAAATTATCTTTTTTTTTTAAGTATCAAATTACTATTATTTTTCTTAAGGAACTAAAGTGATCCAAAAATGTAATAAGTTGCATATGACAAGTTATATCCTTCTGTGCATATTTTGGAACATGCTATCTGTAAAAAAGTCATTTTATAGATGTACATGCTGCTGTCAGCCTGAAACTAGCATGACCTGATTTGAAATGGTCCTCTGTGGAGTAAAGAATGTTGTGCATGTGAAGACTGATATGTGGCAAGCTTCAACTCCATTGTGCTCACAGTACTTCGTGCTTGTTTGAATTTTCAGGAAACCATACGTGTGTAAATAGCAAGATTTGATGACAGATCATGACACTAAGTGTATCTGTACTGAGGGATATGTACTAGTTCACATATAAAAAGCTCAGTAATGTTTCTTTCCAACTAAGTTTACCTCCAGAGCACCCATGTCTCTCCCAACAATATACAAGTGCTTGGTGCAGTTGGTCATGAATACACATCGCATTGATATAGACTAAGTAACAATAATATAGTTCTGTTTGAGTGCTTTCAATGAATATTATGATAGTAAAAGTAACACATACTGATATTTTGTATGCATGCTTTGTCATAGAGGCCACAGTGTTGAAATGAAATTATGTAAATTATATATATATATATATATATGTGTGTGTGTGTGTGTGTGTGTGTGTGTGTGTGTGTGTGTGTGTGTGTGTGTGTGTGTGTGTATATATATATATCAGATTTGATAATAAACATAGTTTTTCTAATTAACTGAGAAGTAATTAACACAGAAAATATATACTTATTAATGTATATGTTTGCACACACACGCTAGTGGCTAGCACATTAACCACTAATACTATATTTCCGTCCAATTTTATTTTTCTAGGATGCAGTGAGCCATTTTATACCCCTAAATAACACCCATCTTTTGTAACGAATACAAAATATTCCATTTACAAATATATTTTTCTCTTAAATGTGAAAAAGGAAACAAGAGACAACTCTTAAATCTTAAATTACAAAAATATATATACTTTTATATATCATAGTCATTATTACTATATTATAGTTGAGAACCAGAATTTGAGTTCCCCTAACAATTACCTTTTACTGTGCTGTAAGGAAAATATTCCAGATGATCTGCTGTTAATAAAATAATCTGTGACAAGTACATATGCAAATGTTTTAACTAAATCATTTCAATAATTCAGTTGCTATAAAAGAGCTGACTGTATGAATGTAACATATTACCGACATCTACGAAAAAGAGAGCAGCAAAACCACAAACACAATCTAGAATCATAGGTATTAGTTTACAGAGGTATACTTACTCCTGACCCCCCTGTACCTAGCTAGCTGTGAGTACATTTGTTTGGATTTCTGAGGTTCAAGAAGTAGTTGATCAATAGCAGGAGAAGAGAAAGAAGGTTCTATCCATAGGCAGACAAAATAAAAAAAAAAAACAGAAAGAGAAGAAGATTTCAGAGGTAGAAAGAGACAGACAGATGCAAACCTTCAAATTGTCTCACAACATATCCAGTATGTGCACACTGCATGTTCAGAGTATCAATTCTTGATACACTAATCATGAGGTAACTTGCATATTGGAGTTCTCTTCCATATCAATATTACATGTGGTAATCATGAGATAGCTCACCTGTTGGCATTTCCTTCTGCATCAACTCTTAATATGGTAATCATGAGATAACTCACCTGCTGGAGTTCTCTTCTATATCAACTCTTCATGTGATAATCAGGAGATAACTCACCTGTTCGTATTCCCTTCCAAATCAACTCTTTATGTGATGATCAGCAAATAACTCACCTATTGGAGTTCCCTTCCATATCAACTGTTCATTCGATTACCAGCAGATAAATCACTTATTGGTATTCCCTTCCATATCAACTCTTTATGTGATGATCAGCAAATAACTCACCTATTGGAGTTTCCTTCCATATCAACTCTTCATGCGATTACCAGCAGATAACTCACTTATTGGTATTCCCTTCCATATCAACTGTTCATGCGATTACCAGCAGATAAATCACTTATTGGTATTCCCTTCCATATCAACTTTTTATGTGATGATCAGCAAATATCTCACCTATTGGAGTTCCCTTCCATATCAACTTTTTATGTGATGATCAGCAAATATCTCACCTATTGGAGTTCCCTTCCATATCAACTTTTTATGTGATGATCAGCAAATATCTCACCTGTTGGTATTCCCTTCCATATCAACTCTTTATATGGTAATCATGAGATAGCTCACCTGTTGGAGTTCGTTTTCATATCAGCTCTTTATGTGGTAACATGAGATAGCTCACCTGTTGGAATTTCATATGTACTCTTCACATGGTAATTATGAGATAACTCACCTGTTGGAGTTCCCTTCTATATCAATTCTTTAAGTGGTAATCACAAGATAACCCACCTGTTGGAGTTCTCATTTATATCAACTCTTCACATGGTAATCAAACTCACCTGTTGGAGTTTTCTTCCTTATCAATTCTTCATGTGGTAATCATGAGATAATACAACTGTTGGGGTTCCCTTCTCTATCAACCCACCAGTGCCTGAGCATTCACTCAATTATCATACCACTAACAGAATAATTACATAACAAACTAAGCAGAATTTTAAAACAGATTAAACAATTCTCCTCAACACTTGTCACACTGGGTTCATCAAATTCACAATCTTATTCACAAACAAAATACTTTGATGTAGGTACATTTTAAGCCATAACAGTATCATTATATAAGGAAAAATCTAAATCTAAGTGTAGTTTTGCATGTAGTATAGTAGACAAAACATCAGCATGACAGAAGAAACTCCATGTACTCTGATTTTTGTCACAGATCATTACTTCAATCATATATCGTATTTGGTAAGCTTACGGGTGTATGTGTGCATAAAATAATGGATTCAAATATGATAAATATAAAAACCCTGCTTTTTAATACAAAGATCTTGATTTCTGTAAATACATATTTTATAATTAATAATAAGTTAATGTACTGTTTCAAATATCCACAATAATATATATACACACACACAGATCATCAATTAATATTTGAGTCTTAGGCATTTTAACTTAATTAGCTAAAACATATTAGACTAGTCCTGAAAATACATACATTTGATTATTTTACTTACTTAGCTTGGCAGCAAGCTGAGAAAGTTCTTCTTTAAGTTTTGCCTCCCCTTCAGTGTGTGCTCTCATCCTCTCAGATGATTCAGAGAAAATAGGAGAACCAGGAACAGATGATGCTGCCATGGTGACAAAGCTTGTTGTGAGTGCAAATATATTTCTTAAACATTTTTCTTTATTTAAAAAACACTAATAACTATTTGTTGTTCTTCCTAACTCTAGATTGTAGCTCCTCCTTGCTAATTTTATAACAAGGGAATAAATAATGTTGTTTCTCTTCATAAAACAACTAAACAAAATCTCCATCACTAGGATTTAAAAATATGAAATTTATATGCTTCTGTTCAACAATACATAGTATGTTAAGTTAATAATGTTAATTACTACATTTTGGAAGTGTGTTGTTGCCTGTCTAGTGACTATTGACAAAATAACTGTAAGATGGTTCCAGATATTCCTGTGTGAATCTAAAAGTCCAAATAAAGGGGTACCATCTAAAACTTCAGTTTGGTCAGACCAATCACTGATTTATCTTAACTTTGAGGTGGTCAGACTGACCGTTGATTTATCTCAATTTTCAATTGAGACCTAGATGTATTAACAGGCTTTTGTAAAATAAATATGATCAAGAAATTATTTTGATTAGTTGTTTTAACTTACAGAATGTTTTTTTAGGTTTGTCAAGCTCAGCCAGCAGTTTGTTATCCTGCTCAATACGCTGGAGAATCCTTTCAATTTCCTTTGAAGCAGAGTCTAGCGTGGTTGGAGTTGTGAGGGATGAGGATGAAAAAGACAGCTGGTCTGATGTTGCTGGTTTTACTAGTGAAGATAAGGAAGTTGTTAAGTCACTTTCTGAAGTGGTTATTTGAGAGGATAATGTAACATCTGATGATAATGGTTCTGCAGTTATACCTAAAAATAAAAATACAGTACTAAACAAGAAGAAAGCAATATTAACAGAACATGCACAATGAAATGATTAAAAAACAAAAAATCAGGTGAAAGAGAAACATAATAAGATCTATGATGTATAACAGGAGAAACAAAACATCTATTAAAATTAAATATCAAGTATTAGAAAAACTAATTTCTTTATTAAAATGTACCCGCAATCAACGTTTTATAAAAAGTAATTCATTACTTCTTGTGTAATTTTTAATTCGGTTTTATTTAATCAATAACATTAAAAACTAATATGCTGATTAAGTAATAACACCATTATGCAATTTTAACTTATTTTTAACAACGATTAACTTAACAAATTAGTGGTGATATTTGTGGTGTTATTGACCCTTGACATAAGTAACGCTTCTCTAATAACACAGACAGGTTTATCCCAGCTATATCAAAGGGTCCAGGGTTTGATAATTGATGCTGCCTAACATGCTCTGCACTTTAGTTGTGGGCGAGCTATAAAAGTGACAGTCAATTCCATTATGCAGTTCAAGGAATTAGAGAAAGCCTTGTGATGGCTGGCTGCCCTCTTCTTCCTTCTGGTTAATAGTTTAACATTAGGGGTGGCTTTTTAAACCAAATGCTCACAGGTTGAAAAGGTTAGTTCTCATCTCAGTTGTTTTACCTAATAAGTTAGACCTAATTAATTTTTCTTAATTTGAATCAAACTTCCAAAAAAAGAAACAAACAATCTTTAAAATCCAGCTAGGAGATTACTGAGTGAGTGCTTAGCTTTGGAAATTTAGGGTATTTACAAGAAAAGTGTATTCTCTGGAGATGAGAAGTAATAATTTAAAGTAAGTTTTATAACAGAAAACTTTAACTTTGTCTCTTCATTTTCCCATACATAAACTTGTTTGTCCTATGAATATGATATTCTCTGTACTTTAAGAATACTGTCAGTACGTGTAAACAACACTTTCTACATAACATGAGTTATTATATTGATAAAAGTAATGAGAGCTAATTTTACACAGTTACTCATAACTGAATCTAACTGTGCAACAGCTGCTTGATAGTTCTCTTACACACAAACAAAAAAACTAAGGAAGATAAGATATGATTCCAGGAGACTTTTGTAATAGTGTTCCAGCTGTAATATATATACAAATCATTAACTCTTGTTGATGTACTTAACTGTTGTAATTGAAGTAATTATGACAGTAATACTTTTGTTTCAGTGGACTCATAGAATGATACCATTGTTGAGACAATAAACTACGGTAGTGATAATTTGGATTCAGTGCACCATTCTTGAAAAGATGAGTAACTGTTGATATTGTCCAATTAACAAACTATGGCTATGATATTTTTAGATGAGTGCACTCATACAGTGATACCATTGTTGAATTAATGAACTATGGTTGTGATAATTTGGGTTGATTGCACTATTTTTAAAAAAAAGATAAGTAACTGTTGATATTGTTCAATTAACAAACTATGGCTATGATATTTTGGTTGAGTGCAAGACTACTCAAAAGATTATAATTGTTGACTATATTTCATATTATTAACTTAAAAATAAGAAAAGTTTAAATCAGTAACTATTACTTAAAAATATATGTGCTGTTTATCGTTAAACTTGACTGATTAATTAGAACATGAATGTTTGTAATATCGTATCAAGGAAACAGTTATCATTTTGACATCACAGTGTAGTTAAAAGGTTTACCTTTAGTGGTTATGTATGTTATTGTTGAAGATCTATTTCAAATACGTGAAGTGTGGGACAGAAGGTCAATTTGGTACATGAATGGAAGAGATTATTAAGAAGTTTAAAATGCTGGAAGAGAAGAAATTGATGAAAAGTACTGACCATATGTACTGGACATCAGAGTCCCTGCACTGGCCAATATCCTGTCCACTTCTTGAACAGAATGTAGCTCCTCACCATGTGAAACCTGAAAAAACAAGAAATAAAAACTGAAGCCTTGTACTGAACATCCCTTACATTTCTGAAGCTCATCAAAATCAGACTTTTCATAAAAACACTAGTCTATTTCAAAACTCCTTGGACTCTATGTATAGCATAGGGTTTTACAGTTTTTCTAATTTGGAAAACTCTTCTTGAATTTATTTCATAAAGCATAGTGACTTAACAGAATTTTGTCACACTTTCAAGGAAACATAAACCATAAAATAATAAGGTTTGTAGATTATGTTTTGGCTTACATCAGCTGAATGAGATCTCTGTGTACTCCAAGCCCACTTTTCCCGTGACCGACGGAGTGTAGCCATCTCTAAAACAAGCTCTTCATGGAGAACATTCTGGAGTTCACATTTCTTCTGGAGTTCTCGAACTTTTGACTATAGCACAAGAAGGTAGAGAAAATTGTTTGCATTAATTACCATTACAAAAAATATTCATGTAAGTCATGGTTACAGCAGTCAGTCAAAACAGTTTAACTGCTTTTATACGAGTACTGTGGTTCATATTTTGTTTATTGTTTAACCACGCCCACTTTCATTGTATTTTAAACAAATTTATCTCATTATTTCTGTTAGAAACACTGAGAAAATGCTGTAACATTCGTAGTTTTATGTTCATTAGACTGTTGTGATTCCACTGAAAACAAAAAGGGGAAAAATTTATACCACAAAAAATGGCTAAAGTTAAATAGAAGTTTTAATATTCATGATGTTTCAGACTGGGAAACCCTTCATCTGGTGATTTCAAAGAAAGATGTCCTGGCCCAAAATGTTGTGAATATTAAAACACTTATTTAATGTTAGCCTTTTTTTTTTGTGGTGTTTTTTCCCTTCTTTTGTTATGCTTTCCATAGCAGTATTTAGCTGTTGTGATTCTGTGCTTCAAATCTTCCAGCTTATTTAAACATGCAAAAGACACTGCATGTTTGATGCGCCCCTGAAGAAAAAGTGTCATGGCATAAAGATCAGGATCCCCACACAACAGAATTAGTTCCGCATGTTCTTCCAAGGTTAATGACATCCCAACCAACATTAACTAAAATGTCCCTGTAGACACTATTGCTAGAAAAGAACAGAATGGAAAACTATTTCTAGGAACCAGGAGGGATGCAGCAGAGTCACGACATTTCATATCCATTACTTAAAGCTTAGAATAATTTCAACAAATGTGTCACTGTTGATAAAATGCTTAGTAAAGAATAAAAAAGAAACTATTACTAGGAACCACAGAGGCATGATATTTTATAATTGTTATTTGGTGTGATAAATACTTTGGCTCTTCTAAACCTTCATCTACAAGGTCACAATGAAAGAGAATCCTATTACAACAGAAGAATTTTTCATAAGGTTGTTGAGTTTACAGCTTGCTGGAATCCAGATTAAGGTGAACATCAACAAAAAGCCAAAGTTAAGCTCGATGGATGCTAGGATTACATCTCATATTCATCTCAAAATCAAACTATTTGTGAAATTGTTGTAAGTGGCATTACAAATGTAAAGTATTCTTCCAACTGTCTAGACATAAAACCAGACTGCAACAAAGAAAACAAACTTTCTTTTGTTGTAGATATATTAGTTAAAATAGAAAAGTAATTTAATCTTTACTAGCAGACCTGGCCACAAGGCAAGGTAACAAAGGCAGCTACCTAGATCCCCATTCTATGGGGATCTGCAGATATCTTTATGATTGATTCTCAAAATGAAGCAGCAAAAACCAAATGCTGTATGGTTGACCCATTAATGAATGTATCATGTTATTCTATTACACAATTTCTGTCATTAAAAGTGATTCCATGCATGAGTAAGGTCATTTCAAAATACAATATATACAGATGTTATTAGAAATGATTGTAGCCTATATAAATAAAGTAATAATATCTATTTATCTATGTGTTTGTCTCCTCTTAAAATGCATTTTTTTCTTTACTAAGCAATGCCCCATTTTTTATTTGTATTTATCAGTCAAAATCCATACATTAATAAATTTGGCTTGCTAGGACTAAATTTTTTTTTTTTTTACAGTTATTATTTATTTTCACATTGTTTTATTGTGGACTTCTGTGAGGGGCCTCACTCTTTGTATCTTGCCTAGAACTCCAAAATAGCTAAAGATGGATGTGTTTATTAGATATGGTAGTGTGCTCTGTTATGAAAGCAGAAGGAATACTCATTCAACTCCAGAATCTTTTTGAAATGCGGTCTTTCACTTGACAATCTTTGTGGCCTAAGATACGATGGCTGTTCTACTATATCTGGCCATTGTATTAGAAGACAGACACATGTGAAATATCTGGCTCTAAATGTATATCACGTGCACATAAGTTTAGTAATTTTGGTCATAGGTACAAAAAACAAAATAATAAGACATTTCTTGTGAGTGCTCCTTCTCTGCAGTGAAAAAGCAAGCTTTGTAGCACCATGGTGGAAAAAACTCTCAGTGACTTAATAGAGTTGTCAGATGATTATATTTAGAATCACTTTTTGTTGTTAATCATTGTTAATTTGTCACTTGTATAATGTCTTCGTTGCATCTATTGTGTGCACATACTGTATATACATGTTGCGCTAAATGTACTATACATATGGTATTAAATATACAATATGTATCGCTACATTACTATACATATTGTTTTGTGTACTATACATACACATATAGAACAATATCTTGGATACACTATCGTTCCTGCTCTTATTGTATGACTTGTCATTTTGTACAAAAACATCCAACTTTTGTATTGGAGTTAATTGGTATTTGTGATCCACCAAATTTTTTGGGTGCAGAATACCTCTTAAAATGGCGATGGAGGAAATGACAGAAACTTAATGTTGTTCACCCACATACATCTAAACTCTGAATTTGTTTTTGAGGTTACACAGTGAGAGAAAACATATTACAATGAAGAAAAAGAAATGATATTGGTGAAAAGTGATGGATTCCTATTTCATTTTGTTTAAAGCCTCTGTCCATCACGGGGGAATGTAACCCACGATTTTAACGTTGTAAATCCATAAATTTACCGGTAACACACTGGGGACCCTCTTTCACAGAAAATGGGATTAAACCGACAGTATTAAAGACATCCATCATATCTTAATCTATTTTCTACAGTTTTTAGCTGCGACATAGCAGCTCCTAGAATGGCTCCGAGTTGGTTTTGTTTTTCTTGAAGTGCAAACTTTTAGCTCATAGCTCTGTCATCTCTTGATCGACTTGAGATCTAATAACAGTTTTGGATTCGGGAGGTCAAATCCTTTCGATCGATGCATTTTAACATGCCCAAGGCCTCATAGATTAATTTACTCTAATCCTGCCTATTATTTCAGTTTGAGGGTAGTCTGGTGGAGGTCCTGATGAGTAATAAAATCGAATCGAATATATGCGCGCCTCATACTAGGTATTGCTGGCTCATAAAAATATAGTTAATAAAAAGGGAAAAAGATCTCATAGATTAATTTACTCTAATCCTGCCTAAAATAATTTCAAGTGCCGCGGCTATTGAAGATTCCCTCTTGTTTTTCCTTAATCGGCTAGAAAAACATTTTCCGTTAATTTCTAATTCAAATATTGCAAAACAGGCTTCAGGCTTACCATTATCTGTTATTTCAGTTCTTTTGTAAACTTTTCTCTAATATAAATCTATTTATGGTTTCAAAATCGCCCGAGACTATATCCAGGCAACAATTTTGAATTATTATTATTAGCTCTTGCGAGAAGGGGGTTATACTGTAATTTGGCAGTGCGACTCGAGTATTATTAGCACGTGGTAACTTCTGTTTTTTACATACATCAATCTACCACATAACTCAGATATAGAAAAAAATAATCATCTCAAGTTGGAAGAACTTTCCAGCTTGTAAATTAAAAGCCAACAACGGATGAATCTCAAGGTCACGCACGATAAGACCACTCGAGCATGCTAGCAGAGATCGCTAGATTAATTCATTAAATAATGGCCTCCATTTGGATGAAGCTTTTATTGTTGTGCCTTCTTTAGAATGTTGATCATGCTCGAAATACAGCCACTAGTGGTTTCCAGGGAAACCGTGAATACTCAACGTTTCATCTAAAAGTGCACGCACTGCTGACTTCACAACTTCACACTTATCAATACCCGACTTAGATTTTATTTTACTTTCTCGGGTAAATATTTTAGGGTTAGTGATATGACTTGTCTACACGCTTAATTTATAATATCTACTTCTTCGCAAACCGTGAAGTATACATACCTCTAAAGATTTGATCACTTCCAATGATTGTTGTTTCTCGGAATCCTCATTTTGACCAAACAAACGAGCTTCCTCCTGGTGTTTCTGAAGTTCAGCGAGAGCATCCCCATGTTCTTTATCTAACTCCTTCCGCTTCTCAGCAGCTTCTCGCATGTGCTACAGGGTTGAATAATAAAGTATTATTGCATATTAGAACACGTGAACAACAGCGGGTACTGTTATATTTAATATTGTTATATTCTGGGATATATGAATAATAGAGAGCATTATATATATGTGTTTATATATATAAATTTATTTTCTTTTTCATCAGAGGTGAAACTAAAAATATTATCTGTGACGTACCCTCTGCTGTGGACTGCAGTTTCGCTTATTCAAGATTCATCAGCACACACATATACATATATACAATCATTAAACAGTTGGTCCACTGTATAATATCGAATAATGAATTCGACGAAAGATCATAACATTTTTCACATAGTTAATTAAGGTTACTATACGGTGAAGTAAAACGGACTCCAAACCCTCACTGATAATAGAGTATTTTGATACCAGAAATAAACGACCTTACAACACCAAATTGTTGTTTTTATTTTCGGTTTCTGTTTTAGTGGAACGCTCTCGAAGAAGCTGGAAAGCGAAACGTTGAGTGTCTAATCAAATACAAATAACAATTTGATGTTATAAGGTCGTTTATTTTTAGTATTAAAATGTCTTCTATACACCAATACGCACCACAGAAATTAAATAATAGATAGTATTGTTTAATTCTACTAAATAGTATCAAGTGAATAAGAGTAACACTGTTGAAAACTGGAAGAGATTATCATGCAAATTGTAGTTACTGAACGAATTGAATAACACTATTATTAAAACTTCACAAATTCTATTATGTCTCAACAAATTCGCCGCACTAAAGGCACTCATTCCCTCATGAATACAAAACCAAACACACATTGTTGCCCCGGTGTTTTCTGATACAGTCACAGGCAAAAGTATTTGGGCAGTTAAAAACAAGAGAAAAACACAAAAAGTAACTTCTATCATTTCTTAATTGCTCTATTGACAAATATACATTAAAGATTCAGTTTTTGCAACTGATTCATCAATTGGAAAACGAAGTTTTATAATGAATATTGAAAACACGGAAATACCAAAAATATTATTAATACGGACGTTTCGTAACTTCATTAAATTTCATCACCAGCGTTAATATCTAAAAAAACGTTACTTCAAAATATTCGAATTACAAAAAACAACATTAGTACTGAGCGAGTTTTCGTATTCAATCGGAAGTTTAGAAAGAACAGATTTAAACTATAACAATATAACGGAATGTACGATAAAACGTGCGGCATACATTTAATAATAAATCATTGTTAAGAGAAACTATTACAGCTAGAGGCTTAAATGCAAGTATAAACACTGTATCTTTAAAAATAATAAAAAGTATCAAATAAAAACGAAATTTTACAGTCGTAATTATGTACAGTACAAACTTGTAGTTATTCTGAAGATGAATGCTGGAATTATCAGTTAATCACCATGGTAAAGGCTATTTAATACCTTCACTAAAGTCTCCAGACTGCTTACTTTCCCCTCCAGGGTCACTACGTCACTTTGAGCTGTCTTGTACTTATGACGTATCTCCTCCAATGAATTTCTTAGTTGATGACATTCCTTGGTTACCTAAGTGAGAAGAGCAAACAAGTTAATTTTAGGTTTAGTTGCTAATAGATTCGGTTACATAGTTTATAGATTATCTAGTAATAGAATTTTGTGTTCTTAATTTCTTTTTACTACGGTTTTCTAAAAGGTATACAATTAATTTAAAAGGATAACGAAAAAAGTATAAAACTTCACACAAGAATTCCTTTGAATAATTAGAATTAAGTTACATCAGTCTCTCACGTGGAACAAAATGTTCTCGTTGTCACGGTGACTGTACATGTAGTTTAGTACAATTTCAATTGGATACATAGATACGTACGACCACATTCACTCAAAACACTGGGGACGGCATGAAACCAGCAATTTATCAAATAACGAAAAATTACATTTTTCTTATATTCAATCCTGTTTACACTATAGAATACTTCTGATATGACGAACGCTTGAACATTTTTCATTAAAAGCTTTAACCTGAAATTAGGCTTTCTTTAAGCGTGTAGGATCACCGAGTATGGGATTGTTTTGTTTTTTGTTGTTGTTTTTTTTAATTTCGCGCAAAGCTACACAAGGGCTATCTGCGCTAGTTGTCCCTAATTTAGCAGTGTAAGACTAGAGGGAAGGCAGCTAGTCATCACCACCCACCGCCAACTCTTGGGATACTTTTTTATCAACCAATAGTGGGATTGACCGTCACGTTATAACGCCCCTACGGCTGAAAGGGCGAGCATGTTTGGTGTGACAGGGATCCGAGTATGGGAGAGCCGAGAAATGGAACTTGGAGAACCACAACACCTCCTCAATTTTTTTTTACCAGAAATTACTGATGGGGTCCATGGCTTTTTAACACATTTTGCTACTGTTTATACATTCTGTCTTGCCGGTTACGACAAAAGTCACACACTAAAGATATAAACAAAAATACACTGAACATTACAATTGACCCCACTAAGTACAGCTAGGGTTTCCTGTGTTTTTTGTAAAAACAACTCAACGATTACACCTTTGTTCTTTTATTTTCTTTTCTTTTATTTTTTTTTTTGGTCACTGCTTTACACCAAGTGTTGTAACGGGAAAAACACAAAACTATTCAATATTGTTACGACAGCGGAAGTCACGCGACGCTGAAGTTTCTAGAAGGATCACGACTTATCGAGGAATCCCGCGAATGTCCGAGTGGTTGCCAGGCGCCCTCTTTTTTAGTATGTAAGCCCGGCAAATAAAGCCAGCGAGAGATAGATATGCAGATAGAGATAATTGAGTCAAGCGAACAGTAGGTACCGTAAGCAAAGTGTGTGAATCACTGTGATTTATAGCGTGTGTTATAAAAGAAGTTAAGTTTAAAGTGACTGTGGAAATTCTGTGTATTACAAAGTTATATCGAGAAAGAATAAGCAAGTTTTAATTAAGAAAGGACTTGTATCACTGAAGTTCCTCGGAAAGAATTTATACCGGAAATTAATAAACGAGCGTATGTGGTGCAGTTAACGGTACAAAAACAAGTCCGTAATATGATAGTTAAGTTAGGCCTAAATCTACTTAACAAGATAACCAAGGACAAATTTTTCTTTATGAAAATATTAATTCATCTAATTTCAACAATTTACAGGAAGAACTTGTTAAAATAAGTAATATTTTTTTTACTTACAGTTAAACAAGTTAACAAGTCTGAAACCTATTTAATAACTGTTTCCCTAGGTCTATCTAGCATTGTCAGGAGGCAAACTTCAATTACAATAGTAAAATAGTTTTTTTTTGTTTTTTTTAACTATGCACAAAGCTACAGAAGGCTATCTGTGCTCTGCCCACCACGAAGACATGCCGCTGTGCCACTGGGGGCAGTAAAATAGTTCAAACTGTCACGTATTACAGTATTAGTAATAATATTACATCATTAAACAATAATGTAATAAAAATAAACAATAGCTAAGGAAAAAATACAATATATATATATATATATATAAGTTCGGATTTTCCTGTATGATACTTCTTTAATGTTTCTACGAGTTATACTGTTTTCTTAGTACAATATCAATATCTAAAAACATCAAAGATTGTTTGTTTATCGCAAAGCTACACAATGGGCTATTTGAACCGCGGGGAATCGAACCCCAGATTTTAGCATTGTAAATACAGTAATTTACCGTTTATCTACATCGGGGAACAAGGTTAGAGGAGTGATTATACTTTGCTGTGTGTTTAATTACGTTAGAGGGAGCTTTCCAATGTTCTTTGAATCTTATTGAAAGCTGTAGAATATTTTCTTTTTATATTTAATTTGATACACTGATACTGATGAGTTATTGTCTGTATGCTTTCTTGACAGAAGATGGCCTATAATTACCAGTTATAATAGCTTTGAGTTTTTACCATTTTTCATCATTAGGCCCAACAGTGTTTTTCCCTTTGCGTTATGGCTGTGATATAAATGTAAGTTGTATTTTCTACTTGCTTTAGTAAAATAGGAATTTTAAAAAATATTTCACGTATTTAGTTTGTATGTAGTTTTAGCATAAACACGTGACTCAGAAAGTCGTTGATACTGCCTTGTTCTAGTTGCTTTATTTTCTATAGTAAATAACGTCTATTCTACCAGAGAGGATATTGCAGAAACATATAGTATCCGGGTTGTATGGATTAGTAAGCTGAAAGTATTAGCGATTGTAGTATCATTTGGTGGCCAACATGACGTTGTCTAAATGTTCCCACCCACCAATGCTGTGAAAGAACATATGTCACGAAGGATGCTGTAAACTTGACAAAGAAACCAAGTTTACCTGTTTTATTTAAATTCTACTTGGTTTTCATTGTGAATAATTCAGCAGATATTTATCTTGTATATTTGTTAAATTTCACGCAAAGCTACTCGAGGACTTTCTGCACTAACCATTCTAATTCAGAAATGACAGTCTAGAGGGAAAGCAGTTATTCAACAATACCTACCGCCAACTTTTGGGTTTATCTTTACAAACAAATATTGGAATTAAACTGTCACATAACAACGCCTCCACAGCTGAAAGAGCGAGTATCTTTGGTAATGAGATTCAAATCCACTACTTGCAGATTGCGAGTCGAGCGCCCTCTCACCACCAAAAGCTGACGAGCTGTTCACTGATGCAGTACAGGTGATTTACACTTCTATACGCAGGTAAGCACACTTTTTGTGTGTTTCTAAATAAAGCTTGTTTTCACTCTCTGTCAAACTTGTCGAATCTGTTTATTTCTCATGCAACTTAAAACTCAGTCAAGTTATCAAACACAGATTACTCAGACTCCTTATTTACTGAACGAATCCGCCATTATTAGAAAGTCTAACTATCTGATATTCGTAGGGAAATACCACAGTGCATCCTTTTCTGAATATTTGATTTGAACGTATAATCTGTCGACCAAGAATACTCTCAGAAAACTTCATCTTCGTGCAAAAACAAAGGTAAGTTTAAACATCCGTTTTCTTCAAACATGTCAATACCAGAACTTAATCCTAGAATTTTTAAATTGTAAGTCAGCTACGATTTGCTATCATTAGTTGAAGATTACCAAAGCTATACAATAATAACTTTTTTGAGAGTTTATACGTGAAAGGTAATGATTTATTTCTAGTTTGAAACGCTGTATTATTCGTACAAACAAAAACCTAGAGTAATATATGAATAAGGTAGACTATCAAGATGTAGTTCGAATAATTGGTAAAAAAAAATGTTAACATGGGGAAAAGATGTTAGTTAAAAATATTCTGAACATTTTCGTGAACTAAAAATCCTTCATGAAAATCAGCAAGCAAGAAATGAAGAAGACAGCAGAAAATTGGATGTTAATCATTCTAGTCGACAGGTGTCTTCAAGTGAACTGGAACTTTTACAAAAGGTTTACAGCTGCTACAAAACACCTTCCAATTATAGAACTATAAATGGCACTAGAACACTTAGCCAGAAAGATTTCCATTCTAGAACAATTAATAGTAAATTTAACTTCAGAAAAAAATCTGAAAATATTGATGGTTTTCCTAACAACCTCAAATTACTCAAAGTACATTTTTCTTATCTTCCGAACAATCATCCTACCTTAAACCTGTCTCAAATTTTTTCTTCATAGATCATTAATTTTACTGATTAATCTCGAGCTTTGAAATTCAACTTAAAGTTCGAGGAATTAAAAGCTTTAGGATCTTTAAGAAATGACAAAGACATAATTTTATTAAAATCGGATAAGGGCATTTCTGTTGCGGCTATAGATCGTTCTAACTACCTCAGTAACGTGAACATTATTTTAAACTATCAGAGACCCACAAAACATTTGCGGTCGAATTAGTATTTTTATTGCGACAGTACTTCTTTAAATACAGGATTTCTAAAATAATACAGACACCGAAATATACAATTCCAATTGTCTTAGGCCTAATATTAATTAAGCCTTTATTAAGCACGACCTCTATTCAATAGGAGAAATAAATTAACACTGTAATTTGTGTACGTTTTTTGCTTTAGTTTAATTAGGGCTAAACTTTACCGTACTTAATTATATTAATAGATAAACTAATAATGTTATTCTACGACCTAATGTTAGACCTTTTTAAAAACTATGAAAGCTTTTAATATGTTGTTGTACAAAATGTTTACCGAAATATATTTACATCCGCCTATTGTTTACATCCGTTGACAGGACTGACAGAAACGAAGTATTATTATAACAGATGATTCGGTTCACTTTATCAAATTAGATAATACTTTAAAACCAACGAAAATACGTTAATTAAAAACGTTTTTGTTACAGTTAAACTCCCCCCCCCCGTAGTTCAGCGGAAAGATTGGTTTTTGTTTGTTGTTAAACAAAAAGTTACACAATGGGTTATCTGCGTTTAACAACAACCAAATTCCTGTTAAAGAAAACGGCAAACTTTCTGGTGAATTCTATTTAATTTTTACGACCTTTAGTCTACCGAAGATTATAAGCCGAATGCCCCATAACGTCCATTGTTTCTTCTGCTTACAATTATAACCTTAGAAAAATATTTACTTTCA